TACAAAAATTAGCTGGATGTGGTGGCACGCACCTGTAATCCCAGCTACTCAGGAGGCTGAGGCAGGAGAATCATTTGAAGGCGGGAGGTGGAGGTTGCAGCGAGCCTTGATCATGCCACTGCAGATCAGACACTGCAGTGACAGAACGAGACTTCATCTCACAAAAAAATTAAAAATGAAGTAAAAGAGAAGATTGTGGCAAAACATTCCTGTGGGCCAAGTGGTCCATTCCAACACCCAAGATCCAGCAAGCAGCCAAGCTCAGCACAACCTCCTCGCCTCTTTTTCTTCCTCCAACAGGGTGAGGACGTTGCCTTTTACACTGCAGATGATGGAGCAGCTCATATCATCCCTAAATTCCATGCCCACCCATGTGTCCTGACCCTGAGAGCCTGTCCTGACCAGCACTTCGGTCAGCCTGGCCAGCATGGTACGTTGCACATGGCTGGTGTCTAACCGAGCATGAGGGGGTCAGATGGAGAGAATATGGGTGGGTTCTTCACATGTCAAAGTGGACTTTTCACTTTGGGATGGTGTAACTTGACTTGCTGAAGCCTATGTAGAAGAAAAGCATCCATGAATTTATGACAGGCTTTGGAGCTGGATAGTCTGATTAAGATCAAAGCCCATAAATGAATTGACTTGAGGCAAGTTAATTCACCTCATGCCGTTATCTGTACAATGTGAATGAAAATTCCTACCTTGCAAAGGTTTTGTGACAATTAGATACGATACATATAAACAACCTAACTCAGTGATTTGTATATGTCACGTGTTCAATGTTAGCTATTTTAAAATTCTTTTCACAGTTGGGCAATAGGAGTAAAGATTTGAAAGAGGAAATTATTTTCACTGAAACATAGTCCCCACACCTCTAGAAAGGATGCAGTAGATCAATAAGTATTTGCTGATTGATAGATTGCATTACTGATGAGGCCCTGTAGTGCGAAAATGGCTTGGCCAGGCATGGGCAAATGGTGTTTATGTAATTCTCAATACAGACACTACAATTCCTTGTAACCTGTTACAAAAATTATCAAAGACTTCACTGTTGCCTTGACGTTAAGTTGGGCTATCACTTAGAAGTCCTCCTTCAGCCTCCAAACTGACACTTTCTAGGAGGGCTTCCGACACTGACGTCATCATCACAAGGGCTGCCACGTGTTCAGCACCTGCCTTGTGTACGGGTTTTCTAAGTTTACCTGCTGTAGTCCCCACTGCAACTCTATGAGGAGGCTGTGCTAACTCCAATTTGCTGAACGGGAAACTGAGGCCCAGAGGGCAAAACGACTTGCCTGATGCCGTACAACTGGAAAGTGGCAAGGCTGGGATCTGAATACAGGCTTGTCTAATTCCAAGGCTTCCATATTTTCCACTCCTTCAAGCTGCCAGGGAAGAGAGGAGGAGATGCAGTTATTTGAGCTCCAGAAAATCCAGCATGCCAATGAAAGAGCCATGGCTTTTGGAAAGATCCAGCCAAATCCATGTACAGATGAGAAATATTCATTGGTGGGAGAGCTGGTCTTTAGAGAACCCATCCACTTTTCAGCATCCCAGTGCTCTTCTTGATGCATCTTCAACCCCAGGCCTCACTCTGCTCTCAGCTTCCTGATCTTACTTGGAGCAAGTGCTTTTTCTGCAGGCATGAGGACCTCACTTGGAGCAAGTGCTCTCTCTCTGTAGGAATGAGGACATCTTCTTATGCTCTAACCCCCTGGTTGGTCTATCTGCACATTCTCATCCATCCTGGATGGCTAGTTAGTCTAGTATTTCCCAAGTATACTTGGTAACATGTTAGTAGATATTAAGATAGAGAGTTTTTTTGGTTAAGTTTGGGAAACTGTGATTAAATTAAGGTAAAAAGATTATTTTCTATAGGACTTCTTAGGGCTTTTAGTATGCTAAATAACTTTACTAAAATCCCACGAGAGAGCTTTTCATTTCCCCAGTTTATGTAATCACAGAACCTTTTAATAAGGGCCATCTTGGGAGATAGAATTCTGCCCTACATAAGACCTGGGAGAGATCCAAGAACCTGATAAAGAATTAGGGGTGAGCTGAAGAGTATTTTAATCAAGTGTAGAGGTAAGACCAGAATCAGAACAAATTGTGATTGCTAACAGCTAAGACCTTAGAAATATAAAGATTTAGTTATACTTAGATGTTTACTTCTTTATCTAGCTTTCACTATAAATCTTGTTCTATATGATAATTATTTTTACTGTTCATTGTTTAAAGTTGTTTTATTAGTGACAATCTTGCACTTTTAACAAGCCCTCCAGGTAATCCTTGTAATGCAGGAAGTCTGGGAAGTATTTCAACCGGAAAAGAACGCAAATTTCTAGTCCAGGGGCAGTGTACCCAGAACGTTAATTCTTTTTTGTTTATTTTTGAGAACAAATTGGTGATCATCTTGAAAATGGGATCTGCAAACTTCCATGTATAAAGAGGCCGCAGCCATGGCTCCCTCATCCTCAGCAGATGGTGGGTGGAGAGGGATGTCTGCTCACTTTGACCAAGGGTAATGACTACTGTCTCGTGATGTATTCCTCTGCTCATTATTATGTTACAGGCAATCTGAACTCTTCTCACCGCAGTTGACTACCAGGGAGCAATTTGGTTAGAGGGGATAACTCCACTTGGTTTTATTTCTCCCTGTTTATAGGTGGGGAAATAAAAATCTGGGGTGCTCAGCCATCTGGCAAGCTTTACACAGAAGGTTCTGGCAGGTGAGGGATTGGAACTCAGATTGCTGGCAGCGGGCAGCCCCTTTAGATACCATTCTGAAAGATCTACAGTGAATGAGGGAAATGTTGGTGAGGATGGCAACTCTGGGTATTTCCATGTAACTGCTGAGAACACAATCCCCATCTGCTAAATAAGGTGGTGTTTTGGCAGGCTCGGGTGACACGGATTAGGCGACCCAACCCAAACCCATGCTTCTGTGATCTGCACTTCACCTTTCTCCATCATGCTTCTCCAGCTTACACCAGGATGGCAGAGGTGAGCCACACATCAGAGGCTGCCACACACCGCCTCAGCACTGCAGCCAAGGGAGGGAAGGGAATCAGAGACACTTATGCCTGTTCTTGTTTGCTTTGGGCTCTCACCTGGAGCTTCAGCTGAGCCTGGCTCAGCTTTCTTCCTAGGAAGGGCATGTGATCTTCTGCTTTTAAAAGATCCAGAGAATATGAGGAAACACCATACCAGGAGGGGCTGTCATTCAATGGAAGGGTGGAGTAAATGTCTCAAGGAAGAACTCGACATGGAATCCTCTTCCTGGATTGTCTGTGGATGAATGATGTTAATTAAAAAATCCAAACATATATTGCAGAACACTATGTATTTAAATCTTCAAAACAATCCTGCAAGTAGGATAGATGTCACATTTTACAAATAAGGAGAGAGAGAAGTCAAGTACCTTTTCCAAGGTCGCCACATAGTGAGAGGTAGACATAGGATTTGAACGTAGGTCTTTGGACTTCCACGATGACAGGTTTTCTCTTAGACCACAACTGTCTAACTCCTGTGTGGCATTTTGTGATTTTCAAAGGATTTTCACTTACATTATCCTGCAAGTCTCACCACAAACCAGCAAGGTAGGAAAGGGTTTGACAGGTTAGAACCCAGACTTACATTAAATCGCTGTGCAAGTTCGCCCAACCTACCTGTTCAGTGTAGGTCTCACTCTTTTCTATCCCAGGTTGTTTTTCTAACTCTTCACTCCTATTCAGCTTCCTTTCCTCACCTTTGGTGAGTTACTTAGGGATGCAAAATTGTCTTGAGAAGGGCCAGGGCCAAACATGTTATCTCTTTCCCATTCTCCCAAATAGAGTACTAGCATAGCTAAGTATACAGTGCTTGCTGTGTGTCAAGCACTGGGCTAAGCATTTTATATATTTAATGCTCACAGCAACACCACGAAGTACTTGTTCTTATTAGCCCCATTTTTACAGCTGATAAAACCAGACCCATAAAAGTTAAGTCACTTGTCCAACCCCTAAAAGCTGGTGGATAGTGGATCTGGGATCTGACGCCAGACAAGTTGCAGAGCAGAGAGCTGAGAATTAGCTGCAGAGCTCTTGAAGTGCTCAACTCAAGGTGTTCCACAGATTCTCAGACCAATCGTCTTCCCTGGTCTGGACTGTTCAGAAACCAGAAACTCGGAGAGGCAGAGTGCCCACTGCCAATTTGGCTGGAATTCTGGACATAGAACCCCACCAATTTCTCAGGGAAATCAGTTCCCCTTGCTCCTGTCATGTGTGAAATCTCCTATGCAGACAACCTGAGAATTTGCTCTTGCCCTGTGTGGTGGGTTTGGGTGTGGAGGTGGGTTGGATGGGGGTGGGGGTTGGCTGAGCTCTTGGGAGTGAGAGTGGTAGCTCATCATGTGTCATTCCTTCTGCCATCAAGGGCTCTCCATCCTCCTACTCCTGGCCCATGTGGAATAGCCATGGTCTAGACAGGGCTTCCCAGACTTCCTGCATTGTATTGATTACCTGGAGGGCTTGTTACAAATGAAAATCCTCAAGCCCTTCTTCTGAAGATTTTCATTCACAGGGCTGGGAGCTGGTTTTAGGTATTTGCATTTTTAGACATCAGTCATCAGTCAGTTAACACGTTCATGCTGTCCTTACCTTATGCTAGGTGCTGGACGTTTAGGATCATTTAGGATGGACGGGACTCAAGTCTTGCCCTCAAGAAGCTCAGGGACTGGAGGGGTATGGACAAGTAAGCAGGTAAGTATACTTTATGTCATGGCTATGATGGGAAAAGTACAGGGTATGGTGGGAAGACAAGGAGGGGCATCTGACCCAGACCAGGGAGTGGAGCAGGGAGGAGATCCCCTCCAGAAGACTGAGTTGGGGCCTAGACATAACACACTCTCTCCTCCTAAGATGAGTGGGGGCCTTGAACCGACTCTACCAGCCAGCTGGAGGGTTTTCATATTCTGTCCCGTTTTGCTTCTGGGTCCAGAAATTGCCTGCTGTCAGTCTGGGATGGTCGGGGGAGGGTTTGGCCTGAGACCCCTCCTCTGCACATTTGTAGCCCGCTCTGGGGGAGCTAGCGGAGGGGCCTGTGGCTTCCGGAGCGGAGCAGGTGGCTTTGGCAGTCGCAGCCTCTACAACCTGGGTGGCAACAAGAGCATCTCCATCAGCGTGGCCACTGGCGGCTCCTGGGCTGGTGGCTTTGGTGGAGGGCGTAGCAGCTGTGGCTTTGGAGGTGGTTATGGAAGTGGCTTTGGGGGCAGCTATGGTGGTGGCTTTGGTGGTGGCAGAGGAGTAGGTAGTGGCTTTGGAGGGGCTGGTGGCTTTGGTGGCCCTGGTGGCTTTGGTGGGCCTGGCAGCTTTGGCAGTCCTGGCGGCTTTGGCCCTGGGGGCTTTCCCGGGGGAATTCAGGAAGTGACTGTCAACCAGAGCCTCCTGCAGCCCCTCAATGTGGAGATCGACCCCCAGATTGGGCAAGTAAAGGCCCAGGAGCGGGAGCAGATCAAGACCCTCAACAACAAGTTTGCCTCCTTCATTGACAAGGTGAGGGCAAGGCCAAGAGGTGTTGTGGAGGGCTTGGGGTTCCCAGGGGTTGGTGTAGAAAGATGCCATGGGACCTGTGAGACACAGTGCAGGGGTGGCTGACTCTTGTTCTGGTGCTGCCTTGGTCCCTACAGAACAGTGAGCCTTTCACTGTCTTTTACTTTGTGGACCTTGTTTTCCCAGCTGTGAAACGGGGGGAAGAATTCCTGGTCCTGGTTTCCTGCTAGGAATGAGATGAAGGTAAATGAAGTGAGAGTCCAAACATGCTCTTTGCTCTTTGAAGAATGAGGCATTAGTCATGAAATTATTGCAGTTACTTTAATTCCTCCTGAAAAGCAATTGCTTGATAATCCAAACTAGCTGGTCATGAAAACTTGAGTTAGCACAGATCTTGGGCCTGCCTCTAAATGAGGAGTATTGGCAACTGCCTCATCTTCCAAATGATGTTGTGCTTCAGCCAATATTAAACTGAGCTGTCCATGCTGGGGCAGACAAGGGTGTGCTGGGTCTGTGGGGGACTGAGCCCAGGATCTGAAGTGAATTCTAGGTCAGCTGCAAGCTGAATAACTGAAAGGTCTTCATACGTGAAACCTGTAAAGAAATGTTAGATCTCATTGACTGTTTTCACTGCCTTTCTGGAGCTGAAAAAAGCTTACATTGAAGAAACAATGACAAATAACTTTATTTGTGCTGACCTCCTTTAGTTGTATTCTGAAGGATCCCTTTAGACCCAGGGCAGTCCTGGGTTTGATTCTTAGCTCTGTCACTCATAGACTCGTCACTTTGGGAAACTTAAATTCTTTGAGTCTCAGTTTCCTTATCTACAAAATGGGGATCACAGCAACTCCTTTATAGGTGGTTATGAGGATTAAATGTGATGGAAATACATGAAAATAACAGGTATGGCGTAATCACTCAACAAATCCTAACTCTCTGTTTTCTAACTCTTCATCCTTTCCAAATTAAAAAACAGGGGCAATTGCAGATTGAAGAATTGGGTTCCTTCTCCACATTTCCACCATTTGGGATGGGCGGCCCCACATGCCCAACTCAAGAGGCTGACTCCTTTTCTTCCTCCCCTGATGCAGGTGCGGTTCCTGGAACAGCAGAACAAGGTCCTGGGGACCAAGTGGGAACTGCTCCAGCAGCAGACCACAGGCTCTGGCTCAGGGCCCAGGAGCCTGGAGCCTTGTTTTGAATCCTACATCAGCTTCCTGCGCAAGCAGCTGGATTCACTTCTAGGGGAGAAGGGGAACCTGGAGGGAGAGCTGAAGAACATGCAGGACCTGGTGGAAGACTTCAAAAAGAAGTGAGGGCTCCTCCTGGGGAGTTTCCCCTTCTGGGGAATTAGCAGGGAGGTGTGGTCCTAATTTGGGATTTCAGCTGTTCCCAACTGTGCCTTCTGTCAATACTCTGGGATGGATTTATTGAGTGAAGCATGACCAAGCAGAAGGGGGTGAGAGGGTGGGGGCTGAGACTTCTATGTGGCTACGACACAGATTTCAGTCTCCAGGCAGGCCCCCTCCTATTCCAGCTCAGAGGGACAAAAAAGTCCTCCCAAAGTTTAGAGCCTTTTAGGATGGGTAGTCCACCACACTTGACTGTACCTAGGAATCACCTGGGATGCTTGTCAACAATGCGTATTCCTGTATTGCAGACCTAGGTGTTCTGAATCATAGGTGTGGGGCAGGTCCCAGGGATGTGAGTGCTCCCCAGCTCCCGGGGGTTCTAGGCAGATGCCCGGGGCTGTGCTTTGTAAAGGCCTCTTTCAGTGTTTCCTGTCCAATCCCCTGTTCTGCGGCTTTGGTTTGCCTCCTCCCCCGCCATCCAAGTTGCAGTCCTTACCTGCTGAGGTCTGTGAGGAGCAAACTGGGCCTCTCGAGGTGGGAGGGAGTTCCAAATTTCTCCAGGGGTCAGAATCTCCAGGATGGGCACACCTGCTCTGTGGAGGCCCTATTCCGATTCAGCCGCACCCGCGTGGTAGGCACCCACTCTCTGGCAGGCTCTGTGCTGGCTCTGGGAATCCAGTGGCAACTCAGATTCCCATTCCCAAAAGAGATCCCAGAGGCCTCTTTTCTCCTAGAGGGAAAAAAAGAGGTCCTGCCCAGAGAACTCTTTTCTCCTGGAATCAGTCCAGTTCCTCAAGCTTTGTGAAATCCAAACTCTTGGTATTAGATTTTAGTCCTTAACAGGCAGGAATCCCACAACTTTGATGCATTCAGAAGACATGAGTTCATTCTTAACAAGAAGTAACTGTAATGAAGGAAAACAGAAACAGAGAAAACAGGCAGAAAAGCCCAATGAGAGCAAATATTTTATTGGGTTTCATATGCACATATTGTGCTTCACAAAGTCAATCAAAGAGCCCAGGCAAGTAGCCAAGCTCCTTGAAGTCTGCCCTCTCACCGTGACTGTCCCTACCTCTGCCCGCCACTGGATTTAGAGGGAAGTGGCCCAGGTGGTGCCCTGAGCTCTGAGAGGTCTCTGGGTAGGACCAGCTACATAATTTTCAGGGCTCAGTGCAAAATGATAATGCAGGAACCTAGTTACAAAATTATTAAGAATTTCAATCATGCCTGTAATCCCACTACTTTCGAAGGCTGAGGTGAGAGAATCACTTGAGCCCAGCAGCTGGAGGCCAGCTTGGGCAACAAAGTGAGACCTTGTCTCTACTAAAAATTAAAAAATTAGCTGGGCATCGTGGCTAATTTTGGTTCCAGCTACTCAGGAGTCTGAGGCAGGAGGATTGCCTGAGCCTGAGAGGTTGAGGCCGCAGTGAGCCATGCTTATGCCACTGTATTCCAGCCTGGGTGACAGGGTGAGACCCTGTCTCAGAGAAAAAAAAAGAGAAAGAGTGTCAAGATGGTGCCAGCATTGAGGTGAATGTGAGGACCCTGAGCCCAGGGTCCCATGTAACTGCACAGGTCACATGCCCATGAAGCTGGTCCGGTCTCTGCACTAGTGGGGAGACTGCCTGGAATCCTCATCTTTCTTTTTCACTCCTGAAATGTCGCTGATCAAATGTTTGCCTCTTCCTGTTCCAGGTATGAGGATGAAATCAACAAACGCACTGCGGCAGAGAATGAGTTTGTGGGGCTCAAGAAGGTAGGTGAGCCTGGACCAGCTTATCCAGGTTCCCTTTCTGGGAGCTGTCCCCCAAGGAGAGAGAGCACAGCCAGCTGTCGTGGGGGACAGTCACCTTATCCTGTGTGTGGGATTGACACTTTTCCTTGCATTTTTGGAAGTGAAATGTTTAATGAAGGAAGCTGCTCTAAGTATATTACCATGAGAAGGTGTATTAAAATGTTACTGCGAATAATGAGTGATTAGCATTATGAACTAATAATGAGCACTTTATGTGTAGAATTAATCAAGATTTTCAGCCTACAAATGTACTCCAGATGCTATTAATAACAATCAGCAAAAACTTGTAGCATATTTATACCAGTCATTGTAAAGATGAAGTAGTGAGAATACTCTAATTTCTGTTCAGGAGGGTGAGGTTTCTGGTACTATACAGCCAAAGTCACATACATATCAGGTAAGTGTGATTTTTCTACCCTGAAATCAGATGGTTACTCTGTGCCTTATGGTTTGTATTTTGTTAAAGCATTGGGGTTTGGTATGTTGAGCGATTAAAAGGAAGAAAGCCGCTTTGATTTTCCTTATTTTAAGTAGACTTCGGAAGTAGAAAAGGGAAGTAGAAAGTAGAAAAGTAGAAAATTTTAAGTAGAAAAGGGAAGATGAGAAGTCACAATTAGGAGGGGAGCTGGGGGAGGAACAAAGACGAGACGTGAGGGCTTAGGAAAGAGCCCCTGGGTGGGAGGGGAACTGAGGGTCATTCTCTGGGTTTCTGACCTCCCCTGCAGGATGTGGATGCGGCTTTCATGAACAAGGTGGAGCTGCAGGCCAAGGTGGACAGCCTGACAGATGAAGTCAGCTTCCTGAGGGCCCTCTATGAGATGGTGATTCCTTGGTTTGCCAAGCTACGGAGCCTTCCTGTCTGCATCTTCCCAAGCATAACTTTAGGGACAGCCAAACAGCACAACACTCACAAAACCAGTAATGGGGCTCAGAACTCAGCTCCATCCCACCTAGGAAATGTTAGCTGAGCTTCCTCAGTCTGCATAGGCCTGGCTCACAGGTCCTCAGGCCATTTTGCTCTGCGCCTTTTCTCTGGCTCCTATATCTGTATCACAGCTGGTCTCTTTACAATATTCCTCCCTGCTAGGGGCCCATGGAAACCTACACAATAGGGCTCGTTGGCTGATACCTTCAGGCTGACAGCCCAACTATATTTGCTATTTCCTTTAGCCTTGTTTTCTAGCATCTTTTAGGCTGTAGCCAGACCTGAAGTATGAGCTTCTTTTTCCAACTGACATGCTTCTAGCCCCATCTTTGAGGTATCTCCGCTAGTAGAGGATTCCCAGCATCTTTTGGGCCAGGGGATGGTGAGAGTAACTATCCATGTTTCCTAAAGGAGCTGTCCCAGATGCAGAGCCACGTCAGTGACACGTCTGTGGTTCTGTCCATGGACAACAACCGCTGCCTGGACCTGGACAGCATCATTGCCGAGGTCCGTGCCCAGTACGAGGAGATCGCCCAGAGGAGCAAGGCTGAGGCTGAGGCCCTGTACCAGACCAAGGTGGGAACCCTCCTTGTGTCCTTAGATCCTGATGACCTTCATCAAGAATGTGCCAACACTGTACAAAAGCCATGTTGATTGGTTTTCCTCTGTCAGCTTGGGGAGCTGCAGACCACAGCTGGCAGGCATGGAGATGACCTGAGGAACACCAAGAGTGAGATCATGGAGCTCAACAGGATGATCCAGAGGCTACGGGCTGAGATTGAAAATGTCAAGAAGCAGGTGGGGCTGGGTTTAATGGAGAGATCCCAGAGGTCTTCTGGGTCCTGGGGAGAAGCAGCACCAGCTCTGCTCCTCTGCCACAGGTCCTCTCTGTCCTTTCATGGTGTCACACGTGGGGATAGCACAGTCTTTGGAAAACTCTGTTCTCCCAGATATTTCTCTTGGAGGCTGAGCTTCTTGGAATGCTCACTCAAGAAAGATGTTTGCTTATTCCGGTTTGCCTAGCAAATCCTACCACTGCAGTGTTGGACTTAAACACTCAGCTCTCAGCAGGATCTACATTTAGTGAAGCTGTTTCTCACACAGTTCACATAACCTTGATGGCTGCTGTGTATTATTGGAATGAAGTGATTAAGCAAGAGAGTATTTAACAGTCTTGCAAAAAAAGATTAGAGACTAACCAGACCACTACTACTTTCAGCAGCATAGGAAAGCAAATCAGTGTTCCCTTTCTTGATGAGCCACAAGTTGATTTCAATGGCCCAAAGATGAATTAACCAATTGCAAAACTGAATTCTTTTCTTGAGCATGTTCCATTGGGATTTCTAAGAAAAGGGAGGAAGGGATGCAGGATGTGGGGAAAGAGATCTACTCCTAGTAAAGATCAAGTGTTTGTTTTCTGGTCATTACGTTAATTGATCTTCTACTTCTTCCTGTTCCAGAATGCCAACCTACAGACAGCAATTGCAGAGGCTGAGCAGCGTGGAGAGATGGCCCTCAAGGATGCCAACACCAAGCTCCAAGACTTGCAGGCTGCCCTACAGAAGGCCAAGGATGACCTGGCTCGGCTCCTGCGTGACTACCAGGAGCTGATGAACGTCAAGCTGGCGCTGGATGTGGAGATTGCCACCTACCGCAAGCTGCTGGAGGGAGAGGAGTGCAGGTGAGGGACTGTGGGATCACCATTCTCCAGATACGGTTTTAGAGTGACTTTTGATAATGTGGAAAGGGGGCAAGATGATAAGCAGAGAAACACTCAAAGGGCAAGGAGTGTCTTGGATGACAGTCAAGGATTCAAGGCCCCACTATTTTAAGTCCATCAAGATCATCCAACTCTCAAATGTATCATGGACATCAATATTATACTACGTATCTCTGTTGATCTTCATTACGTTCACTGTATTAGGAAGGTTCTTGGGCATTATGACAAGTGGTAGACCAGTGCAGTCCATTGGAAGTTTCTGAGATGATGAAAATGTTCTATTTTTGTGCCGTCTAATACAGTAGCCATTAGCCACTGGAGCCCTGGAAATGTGGCTAGTGCAACTGAGAAACAGAGTTGTACATTTAATTTAATTTGAACTAACTTAAACAGCATCATATGACTACTAGCTACCATACTGGAAAACTCAGTATAGACAAGCCCCACCCATGAAGCTGAGTCCGTATGGGAGATGGTTGATGTATCCGTGCTCTTGGAAAATAATACAACATTAAGCAGAAGATAAAGGCTTAGTGGGTGGTTATCAAATGCTAAAGGAGCGTCAAGAATTGAGAGATCTTTCTGCTGAGTTCCTGCCCAATGCATCATGTGTTCAGAGGGAAGCTACTCCTCTGTCCTCAGGTAGCTCCCAATCTGATGGAGGAAACAGAAGCCAAGCATGAGAAGGAAAGTGAGAGTGAAGATGATGTCAAGTGTACTAGGAGTCACGGGATGAGGAGGGAGTGGTTGACATCAGTGGGCACACATTGGCAAGGTGTGCAGATCCACTCCATATCTTCTCAGATATGTGGATGTGCCTGCTCCATGATCAGGAATAAGACACAGGAAGATGGGCAGTGTAGGTGGGACATTTCAAATCCATCTTACGTTGAGTGTCAGCCCCTCCCATATTTTCTCCACTCTGAACAACTCCCATCATGTCCACAATCACTCCAGGAGGGCTCATAATGGAAGCCTTCTTGAAAAGGGAGAATTGGAGATAAAAAATCCACGGCTGGGTAGAGAAGATGGAAAGATATGCTAAGGTGGGAAGATGGTCTTAGAACGGTATGAGAGGTGGGGACAGGCCAATCAAAGCAGAGCTGGGAGTCAGATAGTTTTCTTAGGGAAGATAATCTCTAAGGGCTGATGGGAAAAGGGTGGGAAGTCTCAACCCTTGAAGCAGCCCCCTTTTCTGGGGAGATATGGTCATGGAAACAGACTCGAAATAAGCTTTCTTCTTACAGGATCTTGACCCCTAGTGGGACAAATGGGAGGGTGTGGCTCTCAAAGTTGTGAACTCTCAGCTCTTTGGCTATTGACTCATTGCACAAAGAATTCACATCTCCTCTTCCTTTTCAGGATGTCTGGAGAGTGTCAGAGTGCCGTGTGCATTTGTAAGTAGCCTATTCAGAAAACCTTCTCCCTGGGTTGTAAAAAGGGCAACTAGAAACATCCTCACTGGCTGACCTTCAGCCAAGAAGGCCTGTTCCATCCCAGGATGCCAGGCCACCTGACAGCGTCCAGGATCTCAGGCCACGGCAACATGCTCTACCCCTAGTGTAAGCTGACAACCTCTCAGGCTAAAGCTAAAACCCCTCTGGTTTGGGGAGTGGCCTAGGTTGGAGAACCAGAAATTTCTATGGATACTTCTGGTTCCTGTTCTTGGGGGAAGGCACCAGAGGGCAGGCTCACTCTCACAGTTTGCAAACTGAGGCACTAGAGAAGTTAGCATCTTTCTCTAAGTCACATAGTCAAGCGGGGTAGGGATGTAATACGGCTTTGGCTTCCAGTGTCCCAGGCCTTTTGACTGAATTGTGTGCCTGTTGTCTTATAGCAGTGGTCAGCAATGTCACCAGCACAAATGGCAGCTCTGGCAGTAGCCGTGGAATTTTTGGAGGGGTCAGTGGCAGTGGCAGTGGTGGCTACAGAGGCGGCAGCAGCAGCAGCAGCAGCAGTGGCTATGGAGTCAGTGGTGGCGGCAGCAGTGGCTACGGAGGGGTCAGCATTGGCAGTGCCGAGGGCAGGGGCAGCAGTGGGGGCTACCAGACCAGCAGTAGTGGCAGCAGGCTCAGTGGTGCTGGTAGCATCTCTGGGGGCCACAGTGGAATGGGCTCCAGCTCTGGCAGCATCCAGACTTCTGGAGGCAGTGGCTACAAGTCTGGTGGTGGAGGCAGCACCAATATCCGCTTCTCCCAGACCACCAGCTCAAGCCAGCATAGCTCCACCAAGTGATCTTCTGTGCCCAGTCTCTATAACCAGCTGCTTCCCACTCAACCTGCAATAGCATTTCCCACTGTCTGCTTGGCATCAATAGATGCACAGGGTTCAACCACATTTTTCCTCAAATTCCCTGGAGAAGAAGCTGAACTCCTGGTTTCTCCAACCCCGTGACCTTCCCAGGGCCATGGAGATCCAGCTGCTAGTCTGGGATGATGATGCCCCTGGGAGACTCCCTGTAATGGCCCCTTACTTTGGACAGCAACCCCTGAGTACAAGCCAGTCTCTGTCTTTCCAGCCTGGGTTGTTCCCACTCTGGCCCATCTCCCGCTCTTACTGGGAGTTGGTGATTTAAAGCCAGTCACCTCAGCACTCTCCGAGGAGGGCAGTGCCATGGGTTCAGTGCTGGAGGGTACACGGTTAGGATCTCCAGACTGCCGGTTCCCAGGGAGCCCTCCCTACATCTGGGCTTCAGATCCTGACTCCCTCCTGTCCTCCGATTCCCTGAGCTGTAGATCCTCTGGTGATGAGTATGTTGCACTTTCTTTTCTCAATAAATTGCACTGAATTTCACATTCTGGTGTTTGTCTTTTATTCCAGCAGTCACAGAATAGATCATGACCCAAAAGTGATGAGAAATCAGGTGGGGGTGATGGTCTTCTGAGAATTTAAAAGTGGTTATAAAGGCTACTGAATAGTTTTGGCTTCTCCATCTATTTGGTTGGGATTCCTGTGATAGGTCTGCCCAAAAGTATGTCATGTAGGGGGAGACCTTCCCCACTCCCAAGAAAGTCATCCCATCCATCCTCTAGCCTCTGAGCAGGCCTCTGAAATCCAGTCTTGTAAGAAGAGGGTTCTGCAGTTCATCAAGGGAACAGATTCCGCTGGGACTTCAGTTCCTCTGTTCTACCACCATCCCAGCCAGACACAGAACCAATCCTCCTTCTGCAAACACAGCTCTTGGAATCTGAAGGGTTCAATACATAACATCCTCTTTTCCTTGCATAGGTTCTGAGCCAATTAAAAAAATAAGACAAATGAGCAGATGAGGGTCAATATTTCCTTTATTACCAACAAAGAAGATACTGGAGTATGTGTCTTTTACCTCGAACAGAAAGGGTTTCCTATCACAGGCCCTCAGGATTAGGCCAGATTTTTCACCTGGGTAGAAGCATCCTAGGGCCACTGTAGCCTTCCCTATGGGGTCAGATCCCTTGTCGAGGATACAAGAGAGCAGAATATAAGCTTGCTATGGAGAGCCAGATCCTACGAGATGGAAGGGCGTTGCTCTGCAAACTCAGCCCTTCCTTCCAAACTCACTGATCGGGTAAGAGAGTGGGTGGGAGTGTTAAACTAGTAAACTCACTCCAGGCGGATGTAAAATTAGGAACAGAGATGATGTGTGCCTGCCCTCACACCAGTATTTACCAGCCATTCTTAGAAGGCTGAAAGCCAAGCCTGGGGAGCACAGGGGTAGGGAGACAGTCACTGAGGGAAAAACCAGAGGGCCTCAGGGAGATGACATTTAGAGTCTGTGATTTTCTCCCCCACTCCCCAAACCTATCCCTTCTGCATGCCATTAAGCATGGCAAAATAGTAGTTTGTAAGTCACTGTAGGTCGTGTATTACTGCCCAGAAGTCAGATCAGGGCTGTACTAATGAGAGGGCATCTGTACATTTGTCTGATGTCCAAGGGGAGCTCCATATTTCTGAGCCTTGGCCCACCCTATGTAATCTCTAAAGTACAGCATCCCTGGCCTCAAGAATTGCAGAAGAGAACATTTTAAAGTTCCTATACCTGAGAGATGAATAAATCCTTGCCCATCTTTTCACAGCTTATAAGCAGGAGGTAGCACCCTTTCCAATTTCCCTTGGCCTAGCTCTGGATACTTTGAGCAGGGGCAGGCAGCTCTGAATTGTTGATCTTACTGGCCTTGTAGAGACGCTGCAAGAAGCATCATTGGCTGTCTCCCCAGCTCTCTGCAGGAAAACACCCTGGGAGCTCTGCTCCATGTGTTGCTTGACTTAATGGGAAGAGGCTGACTGTCTTGAGTCAACCCAACTGACTGAAGCCCCAGGGTTTGGAGACATCTGCTTCAGTCTCTTCATCCAACTGCTCCATGTGTGTTGATAATCTCGGGGCCCTGCACAGCAGGTGGGAAACTGAGCGAAAGCTTGTTGGTCAATTGAAAGGATGAATAGAGGTGAATAAGGAGAGTGCCCCTCCCCCCATGCCCTCAGCCTGAATGGAAGATGGGATAGGTCACACTCCAAGGTAGGACAGAGGGAAAAGTTTACAGTGAGGGCCTAGGACCCTCTTTTGAATTCTTGTGAGGAGAAATGGTGGAGGGGGCTACCAAGGGAGGTAGCGAAAGACTTAAGGATACCTGGAATTAAAGGAAGGGGCCTATTAAGACAGGCACATTGGAGAAGAAGCCTGGAGCAGGCCTGGGAAGGAAAGAGGCTCTGGGGAATATGGAGGAAGGCAAGGGGTCAGGGCTCAGCTTTCCGGGCCAAATCCCAGGAGAACTCCAGGACTAGTGTCATCCTCCATGTTCCTGACACAGTGGCACTAAACCATGTGCCAGGGGAGCAGTACAGCGGAAGAAGCTCCGGAGTGAAGGCATCAAGTCTCAGACCAGGATGGCGGCTGGGGGGAATAGAATATTTTTAAGACTGTGGGAGGTGGCAATCTTGAGCTGTCTCAGCCTTGAAGAATCCCTCAACCCATCACCCATTTGAAAACAGAACCGGGGCAGCTCTTTGCTTTGGAAGGCAGCAGGGTAAGTAGAGTAGGTATTTACCTGTGTGGAATGGTCAAAGGGTGACAGGAGCCCTCCTGAATTGATACTTGAAATCCTACCAGTTTAGGATTAAACGATCTGTCTCCTAGTGGTAACTACTTTGTTATTTTCCATCCTCTGTTCTTTATCCTTCACTCTTCTCCCTCTCCTAGATGTCTTTTACTAAATTATAAAAGTGATACACATTTATAGCAAAAATGCATAAAATTTTAGCAAATTAAAAGATTAAGACCATCTACAATTCTACCATCCTGACATTTTCCTACATTCATGCACGTGCATGCATGCAAACATATTCGCAGAAATATATAAAACATTTTTCGATGGGATCGTAACAACACATTCTGATTTTTAACTTGATTTTTCACCGAACATATTGTGGAACTTATCTATTCAGTTATTCAACAACTATTAATAGACCAAATGCCTACTATTTTCCAGTTACTGTGGCAGGCCCAAGGATACAGGGGAGAGCACATATAGTTTATGTGCTCGTAGAATTTATAACCTAGCTGACAAGAAATTTACCAAATAACACCTTTCCATAACAGCAAATACAGTTGGAGATCATAATTTTCTTTGTCAGTGCAGATTATTTTTACTTAAAAAGCAGAATCAAAGGTACACATTAGGAACTATAAACAATTGTGTGTGTATTTTTTTCGAGAAGTGTGACATGCATGTTTTATAGTCAGTAATGTTCTACTAAAACATTTTACTAACATGAAGCCAGACAGATGACCTTTGGTACCTCTGAAGCCTTTTGCTACCTCCTCTTACTCAGGCTGAACTAGACCAGTGGAACACCATTTTTTTTTTGCAAGAAAGATTTTGACAGGAAGAAGGATAGAGTTGTAATTACAGAGCTTGAAGAATCACATTTTAGCAAACTCACCCCCACCTCAACCAAAAACCTAACAGACTGATTTCTATGGAAAGGATTTTAAGTAAATCTGTACAAACACACTTAACATGCTGTAAGAAAACGATACCTTTCAGTTGACTTTCGGCACATGGCATACATTAATTGATGTCCAGTAAAATAGAAATTTCAATAAAGAAACAATTTTGCCTTCAAAGCACTGCAGTTAAAAAGTACAATCCATTTAATACTTAGATCTTTAAGTGGCTAATCAGAAATTCTAAGATCAGATCTACTGGATCAGGTCTACTGCCTGAATATTCATCTACAAAAATATTTTTTTCAACAGTGATGCTTAAAAATATAAAGGCTTCAGGGCCGGGCGCGGTGGCTCACGCCTGTAATCCCAGCACTTTGGGAGGCCGAGGCCGGTGGATCACGAGGTCAAGAGATCGAGACCATCCTGGTCAACATGGTGAAACCCCGTCTCTACTAAAACTACAAAAAATTAGCTGGGCATGGTGGCGCGTGCCTGTAATCCCAGCTACTCAGGAGGCTGAGGCAGGAGAATTGCCTGAACCCAGGAGGCGGAGGTTGCGGTGAGCCGAGATCGCGCCATTGCACTCTAGCCTGGGTAACAAGAGCGAAACTCCGTCTCAAAAAAAAATATATATATATATATATATATATATATATATATATATAAAGGCTTCTCTAGAAACGGTGGGACTACATCAGGACTACAGAAGCCAGCGATAAAATGACTGCAGACCCATGCCTAGGCATCCATTTTCTCACGTAGCTTTTGGTTAAGGACGTCTTTTTCAGCTGCTTCCTTTGGTCAAGACTGGCTCTAGTTTTCTCATAATAGTGGGCAGGAAATAGGAGCTTCAGAAATCTCAAGTCGGGGCAGTTGGTTTGAGTGACATCCTAGATAAACACTCCCAAAAAGTAAAATGCCCTGCCCAGGTGGATTCCTAGGGTTGATGGACTACAGCTCTTACCCAAGTGAAAGGGCCGTGAGCACAAGAAAGTTTGGTGCAAAGCCTGCCCGTGGTATTTGGGACAGGGAGGGTTTGTGATCGTGTTATTTTCCACGTGGCTGACACAGGAACATGTATGCTGAAAAAAGGGGTCTTCCAGGTGGAACGCTTGATACAATCTCTGTCCCAGAGTAGCCTGTCTCTCAGAAGTTCCTAAGAGAGGTGTCTACTTTGGCAGGGGCAGTAGGGTTACTGAAGACAAGAACGTGTTTCAGTAATAGCAGAGGTCCCTGGAGGGTCAGGTAATTATCTTTTCGATCTACCAATACTTAACATTAATGAAGAGCTGCAGAGTCAGTCTTTCCA